GGGGGGGGGTATTTCAAAACTTATAATTTCCGAAAAGGCTCATTTTTCGGTGTTTTTGTCATAATATCCGCCCGGCAGTTCTAGAACTACTCTTCCAAAAGGTACCACTCCCATAACCTTATTTTTAACTTTTCTCATCTTGCATGCTCAAAACTTTGCCTTGGATTTCCCCCTTATTCTCGTGTGGCAGCCACACTGTCAAATTTGAGCCAATTTATCTCGATCTCTGTGCAAGATATCAAAAATGTGTCAACTGATAAATTATTTATCATAATATCACCAACATTTTATCAGTTGACAACTTTTTGATATCTTTCCCAGGAACCGAGATATATTGGATCAACTTTTAAATGTATATTTCTGTCAATATGTCTGTGTGTCCAGATGTCTCGTTTTTTCCACACCATTTGTCACTTAACACATTTAAAAGTGAATACGGTAGTTTCCTGGATGTCATGGCAATTCGCTTCCTCAAAGTGATCAACAACCAATATGATATCATAAATCTCTTCCCGCAAAGACTCCGCCCACATTTTCTTAATTTTCTCGCGAAACCAAAAAACCACTGAAAAACAATTTGGGCGTCGCAATCAATCTGAAGAAGCAACGGAAGAAGATGAATTGGCATATATATTTCTGAGAGTAGGAAGAGGAAAAAACAGAGCAATAACAATAGTAAAAGAGACACCCCCCGAAAAAGAGAGAGGAGAAGGAACAAATAGAACACACATTTTTCATATTTTTGCGTTCTTGTGCCACTTTCTTTTGGGATTCTTGAAGGTTTTTCGGGTGAATGGTCATAGAGAAAAAAGGAGAAAATAACAAAGTTGAAGGGTTCCACAAGGAACAATGGTTGAGTGGAAGAAAAATGGTCGGGAGGGAGAATCTGAATAGCTGGAAATCTGAAAATCTGAAAATCTCAAATCTCAAAACCTAAAAAAAGAGCCATATGGATCTACAGGAACCATATGGATCTACGGTAGCCATATGGATCTACAGAAGCCATATGGATCTACAGTAATTATAAAAATCTACAGGAGCCTTATGGATTTACAAAGGTCATGGATTTACAAAGGTCAAAAGTCGTAATAAATACAATACAATACAATACAATTTAAGTCTACAGGAGCCATATGGATCTACAGTAGCCAAATGGATCTACAGAGGTCATATGGATTTCCAGGAGCCATATAAATCTACGGGAGC